TTTTGATTTAACCACAGCCTGACCCTTGCCATTTTCCCAAATATAAAAAATACTACCGCAGAATGTGCAGACAGGAAATGTTTTGTTAGTACCAATTATAACGGAGTTGCTATAGTAAGGAAAGGCGTTTTGTACTCTCAACTGGAAAACCAGAAGAAGGCCCTTATTTCCAGGTGCAAGGGGAAGTTGCAGTGCCACCTGGAAATGGACTCTGAGGTGACAAAAGCAGCCTTGGCCCTTGACTGCAACAACCCGGAAGTGAAACCCTAAATGTTTTCTATTTTTTTTTTTTAAAGATTGGCACCTGAGCTAACAACTGTGGCCAATCTTTTTTGTTTTTTCTTTTTTGTTTTTAAAGATTGGCACCTGAGCTAAATGTTTTCTATTTAACAGGAAAAAAGGTAACAAAGTGGAACCCTTGAATGAGTTTATGAGCAATAAATATAACCAGTCAAAATGTTGGATAAAGTTCTGATTGCTGATTTTCCATCTTTGTCCTAATTGGAAATGTCCGTGTATCCTGCTGAGGAACAGGAGAATAAATGTGTATTCCTAGCATTCCACTGCCTCTTTTAGGCCAAAGACTGACAGTTAATACAAGTGTACTTCCCTTTACAAAATAACTATATTCTTGAAATGTACACAAATGACATTTTTTTAAGCCAAATCATATTTTATTTTAGGAGAGGTGCTTGCTATAAAGACATCTTTAGCAAATCTTTTTCTCCTAATTGCTCCTTAAAGCTGAACTTAAATATCCTCAACATTTTTATTACTATAGCACATTATGACATGCTGTTTAGCTTGAAGAATTGAAGTATATTAATTAGACACATGGTGTTTGCCTTTGTGTGACTGACACCGTGAGGAAGACGCAGAATAGTCCCTATTATATAATGTAGCTAGAAGATGAGACCTGTTCTCAAATGCTAGTGATGAAGATATAGAGCAAGAAAGCACATGGGAGCTATTCGAGAGTCAGTGTTCAAAAGAGCATATGACGTACGGCCTAACACATAATCCACTACATGTTAACATGAAAACTCATGCTGCTTGTTTTCCCCTATGTTTTCACTCATTTTTTCTGCAGGCATCTATTCATTGCCCAGACAAAACGTTGCGTAAGAGATGGTGACAGAGAGAGGAGGAGCAGCTGATGTAAACACTGGGGGAGGCGAATGTAAGCAGAAATATCAAGCGTGGCCCAGTGTGGTAAGACTACGCACATACTGTTCTTATGGTTTTAATTGCATTGTAGCAGACTTAATTGTCTCTAAAATGAGGTGCATTTGACTGGAAACTGAAAGAAAATACACAGAGAAGGGCCTGGGATACCCAACAGACATGAGCAGAAAAAAGTGTGGGAAATTGTGGTCCACGGTTCAGATAACAGGAATTATCCAGTCTAGAAAATTTCCAATGAAAGACATGAGAAGAGTCATTTGAGCAAATGAAAATCCTCATATTGCTGCTGCTTGTTTTTCCAAATTGGAAGTAGGATTAAGTAGAATTATTTGTTGCCCTCTCTAAATACTCACATTTTCATTTATACCAAATGGGACAACTTACAACAGCTTTTTGAGGGCAATTGAAACCACATAGTAGTCCCCTCTATGTCCTGAGGATAGCCAAGTTTATTTCTCTAGACTTGGATCTTCTAAACTCCAAACATGTTCAGCTGCTAACAGGAACCCTGTACATCAATTTCTTGCCTACACAGCCAGTTCATCATCTAAAGTTGAACCCATCCTTTCCCCTCTCCCAGTCTCCAAATCTGTTCTTGCCAGCATTTCCTATCTCAGTCAATAGCATCAACAAAACACAATCACCTAAGCCAGAAACCTTACCCAAGCTAGAAACCCAACAATCATTCTTGATTTCTCTTTTCTCCCTTGACTCTTCCTCCTGCTGGTGGTAATGTTGACCCACATACTGACTACCGAAGAAGGGTCTTGCTTTATGGTCATCAGAACCAAATTTAAACTTTTAGTTGCATCAGTAATTACAAGCACAAGAAACACATAATACATCTTTGGCTCCTAGGCATTTCATTACGATTTGAGTTTACCTGAGTACTTTCAACTAATTATATAACTTTATAATAACTCATTTTAAAATATGGTAAGATATATGGAAGGATATCTGTGAGAGTTTAAATAGTCTACCAAGAAAGATGCTATCTGAAAAGTGTGGGCACTTACTGTTTTAGACCACACATGTGCTCCATTTCCTAATTTTAGTACTTGATTTGAGTGATTTCATTTGCTTACCTTTTGACAATTTGAAAAGCGACATTCTCAGTATTCAAGCAGTGCCGTGTGCTTGAACTTTTTTCTTAGTCCAGCAGTGTAGTCATTGGTAGGCCAAATGTGGTGGAATCAAGGGAAATACACTGTTTAATTTCACCCCTAAATAGGATTTATCTTTTTATTCTTACTATCTTTAAAAAATTAGAACTTGATATTTCATTATGATAACAGAAGTAACTTTACAACTGTTGAAAAGACATCTTGATTTTAGATAACTTCCTGACACATTTTGGCATAGTTTATGTGTATAATTATGTGGGTGTATATATATTGTACCTGTGCTAACCAAGAGTGTTATTTAAAGACACTGATTTTTTAATGTTAATTTTATCGTGGAGACATCTGAAGAACAGATAAAAGTTCTTTAATTATATCTGTTTCAGTGGAAGAGTAGAATTTATATATGTAAAGATTTCCAAGGAGATCTTACTAGTTTGGTGCTTTAATCTTTGTTCTGGCTTATGAGTTGGCTGATTTTGTCAGTCACCTAAATAATAATAAGGATGTTCCTGTTGAATATACATCAGGTACTAATGTCATCATTTAGTTTCCCAGGGAAGTCAGAAGACAGAACTAATTGTCTACTGAAAGGGGTAGAGAATTCTAACACAAATACTTAATCAGTTGTGACTGAACTATCAGAATTTTACCTTTATATTCAATGACTTGGGCAAAGATGAAAGTATGTGAAAATATTTTATATCTTTGTATCTTTATCAGTCCAGCACAGTGGGCAACAAATAGTAGGAACTAAATATTTTTGAATGAATGAGTGAACAGAAAAAACTTCACAGTGCTACTAAAAGATAAATTCTTACTTCTAAGAATGCACAATATCTTGATCTGAAGTGGAAATTATTCTTCCCATCACAGTGTCCACGAAGAAAAATATCTGCACTAAGCCTTTAGTAAAAACTTTCAAATAGAAAAACTTTTCAAATAAAGTAAGGTTTAACCGAAAGCAGAACTCCTGGTTTATGCAATGAAGAGGGAAAGGAGGGGTTCATGCTCTTGAGAGCTCATTCTTTTGAAAGGAAAGCTTTTTAGTTTCCTGGAGGGAGTTAGTTATAAATATCTCAGATTTTAATTTTAAATGAGTAAGTAAATTCCACGGATTTTTCTTATGAAGAACTTACACATTGGAGTTTATAGTGTCAATTTTGGGGCACAATGAACCTCCACTGAAAAAACAGAGGAGGAGGAAATGAGGAAATAAGGATCTACAGGATAGCAGGGACACAGTCAAGTTCTTTTTTGGATCACAATCTCTGAAAGATGATCGGTTCAAATCTTGTACTTTTTCCTCAGGGAAAAACGGAGGCATTTTCTTGGCCCTCTGAATTATCTTAAGAAAAAAAACCTGTTTGATTACTATTTGTGAATACAGAAAGTACATCTTTGATCACAGAGAGGACTATCTTACAAATAATTTCACTTCAAGGATTCAAACAGGGAATCACTAAAAGAACTGAAAACTCATTTCAACATAGGGTTATTTGGGATTTCTTCATTTCTTATGTTACTTTTAGGTAGATTTAAAAATTCAAGAAATGTAGGGAGTTTAAGAATAATTAGCTATGATTTCGCGTTCTTTTCAAAAGTTTGACTTTACGGATTTCTTACTAATGTAAGTTCTCCTCTTAAACACTAAGCATACATCTAGTAACCTAAAGATATAAAACCTACAGCATAAATGATTAAACACCAAAGGTTCAAAGGAAAAAAGCTTAATCATGTCTGTGTAACGTGAACGGTAAAACCATCAATTACAAAATAGGTGGACTGTGCTGGGCAGCCATGTTTAAAGTGAAGACAACTATAAAGCCAGAGAAGCCAGCCTCTGGTGAGTCAGAGCATTAGTAAGTTAAGGAGGAACTCCTAGTAGAAACGAATTGGAAAGACATTCTTCTCTTTCATCAGTGACCAGCTGTAATGAGGGGGAAAATGGCTAACAAAAACTCACCAGAGAAATTTAGACAATGATTCCCAAATTAAGTCAATTTAAGTCACAAATTATACCCCTCTGGATTACCTTAACCCCCCGAGCAAGCCGGTCAATATAGAGAACACCAGTTTGACTTGCTTCAATTTCAAAGTCAATAGTAATCGCCCACTCCGCTTCCAGCTTTGTAAATTCTCTAGACCCTGAGCTTCTCTCTCGCTGTTCATTCCCAAGCCTCTCAGTGCCTGGCACATAGCCGGCATTCAACAAATCTTGGGTGAACTGAACAGAGCTGGCAAAGAAAACCTCTCAAGTGTCTGTCCCGGAGGGTGGCGAGGCAAGGCTCAGGAAAAAGGAATTCTAGTTCTTCCCGCTGGAGCCCAGCACCACCTTTATTATCCCCATCATGCCCGCGACCGTGATTTGTGGGTGACTGGGTCCCTCGCGAGGCTGCTGTGCTTCCGCTTGTGCAGTCATCTCCTTCCCCTCGCACTAAAACAATACCTTGGCCTCCAGCCAAACTCGAGCAGCGAGCGATCCTGCCTGTTTATGGCCCGGAATGGGTGCTGCTCTGAGACGTTGGGCCTGTTCTGAGCGCTAGCACAGGCCCAAAGGAAGGGAAGAGGCCAAAGCTTTAAAACACTCCCTTCCTCCGCCCCCTCCCTTTTGTCCTAGACACCAAAACAAACGAGCTGATACACGTGTCCCTATGACTCTTGTTTACTATCAAGACTGCGCTTTCCACGCACCTCTGGGATATGTAGTCCAACCGGTTCCTCCGGCCTGCAGTTTCCCAGAGAAAAGGAGGAAGGTTGAGACTACGAACCCACAATCCATTTCGTGGGCGAAGTTTGGCTTGGGTCCCCGGAGTCTCGGCAGCAATCCAATCCGAAGCGCTCGCTGTAGTGATTGACACGCCGTCTTCTCCAGTAAACACAACACAAAAGTCAATACAAGGCCGCCCCCCGAGACGGACCACGGTATCACCCAATGGGGAAGGGGAAGGCCCGAGTGGCAGTCCCGCAGCCCAATGAGGGAGCGAAAGAGCTGGGAGGAGGCTCAACCCCCGGGGGGTTGAGGGGAGGGGGAAGACGGAGCTTGAAAGACTTGGTAATGGCGACGGGTTTGGTAAGTAGGAAAGTTTCGGTTGAGGAGTGAGAGAGGCGGCGGGAGCAGGAACGCGCGCCAGGGAGGCCGGCGACAGTCGGAGAGGGGGTCCGCGAGCCGCCGGCGGGGTTGTCGCGGCCGGGGCGGCCCGCGCCGGAGCTGCCCGCACTCGGCGGCGGGTTTGTTGTCCTCCCGTTCGGGAAGGGGTGGGGGTGGGGCGGGAGGGGCAGGATCCCGCGGGGCCCCGGCGGCCGGGCGAGCCCGCGGCCGCGCTCAGCGTCCTCGGCGGGCGGCCCTCACGGCGGGGGCAGCCAGCCGTCCGGGCGGCGAGCCCTCGGGCGCGGCGGTGCCGGGCTGCGGCGGCGGCGCGGCCCGAGGGGGTCCCGGGGGCGGGGGCTGGGAGGAGCCGGCGCGGCTGCGAGCGGGCCGGGCCGCGCGGTGGGTGGCCGGGCCGGGTGCGGAGACGGGGCGGGCCGGGTCGGGCCGGGCGGGGAAGGGGCCGCCGCGGCGCCGGGGCTGCCCAGGAAAGTTTGACTTCAGCTCCGCGCGTGTGGGCGGGGGGCCGGGCGGGCGGCCGGCGGGGCCGGGGGAGCCCGGCGAGGCGCCGCCCCCTGCGGGGCCGTGAGGGGCTCGGGCCGGGCCGGGCGGCTCGCTGAGCCCCTGGGCCCCGGGGCTCATTGTTACGCAGTTCGAATGAATGGGCTCTGACGCGCCTGCGCGCTGGGGCTGAGCCGAGGGGAAAAACAAGCCTGGAGTCCAGGCGGCGGTCACATGATGGGGGGAGGGGAGGGCAGCGCGATGAATGGCGAAAGAGGGTGGGGGATGGCCCTGGCGAGCGCCGGGCGGCGCTGCCGCGGGGTGACCCGCAGTCGGGGCTTGGCAGGCGATCCCAGGCCCCGCCTTCCAGCCTGCGCTGCTGCCCCGGGCCGAGGAGAGCAAAACAAAAAAGAATCCCGGCGAAGTCGATAGCCAGGGCCCGGTGTGGGTAGCTTCTGGAAACGCTGCCTGGGGGAGTTCCCTCGCTGGCTGGAGTTCATTCCTCAGTGTGTTCAGCAAGAATCCTTTTTCCGAGGAGCGCCGGCCGCGGGGCTCCGCGCGAGTCCTTAGCTCAGGGGGCCGCTGATGCTGAGACGGGAGGAGGGCACGCGGGAGCTGTGTACACTGGGAGGGGTTGGCGTGCCACCAACTATTCCGACGGGGTGCTTTAGATTCTTTCCCTCGAACCAGCAGTCGCAGATGACGCCTAACAGTGGTTTTGAAATTAAAGTTACCTTTTGAGAGTTGGAATAATTTTAACGTTTGTGAATACTTGTCTGTTGTTTAACTGTTGATCATCTCCGTTTGTAAAGTATTCCGAGTGCCTTCCGTCTTTGTGGGTGTTTTTTTTTTCAATTTTATGCTTTAGCTCTCTGACAAGAGTGTTAGGGTCATCTGTTCAGTTTCTTTGATTAAACTGCTCAGTTCTTGCTGGGTAGGCAATACTCGACAAAGTTTTAAGGAAATTCGAATTCTATTCAAAAGAATTAAATCCACTCCGTAACTTTTTGATCTACTTTTGAGGAAGCCATTTAACCGCTTTACAGCGCAATACTGCTGTTTATTCTAACTTGACTCGTAGATTATTTATAGAATGAAAATTTGATTTCACTTTCTAGTTTCCGTGTTTAGTTTCATAAGCCCAATTACCTTTTCTTTCTGTTTGGACAGCCCTTCCCCTTCGTTCAGTTTGCACACTTCTAGCACGTCCGTTAGTTAAAATGTTCCATTGTCCCAGGATTTCCCTGCACACCGATCGCCCCCGTTTTCCACGCTTCACACTGCCTCCCTCTCAGACTTCAAACACGGTACTGGTGCTCTAAGAGTTGTCTCCTCCACTGTATTTTAATTTCTTTGAACCCTTTCCTCACTATCCTTATGCTCAAGGGTGAAGGCAAATGGCCTGGGCTTGAGGACGGAATAAACTGCTAGACCCTAAGGTCCTTGACGGACAATTGGTTTTTCTCTTTGAAATGAAAATGTCAGTACTTTTTTTCTGTCATAAATGATAAGAAGTAACTACCGTGTTAGTGAGACGATGCTAGGTGTTTTGCATGTATTATCTCTTAAGTGTGAAAATGACTATTAGAATGGGAAGATCAACAGATTAATCTTTTTTAAGCCGACAAATACCTTGTATGTCACAAAATTTACGAAAAATGATCTTCTTGTTCGTTAACACATGAGTAATCACATTCCTTCATATTTTGATCTGCCTTTACTTTGATGCTTCATATAATTTATACTATAGTCTTCTAGAGAGAGAACAGAAGAATAGTTTTCTAATGGAGTTGATTGAATTTTTAAAGGCTAGCGATAGAAGCCTTTAAAGCCTAGAAAAGCTTTTTTCACAAGTTGTTATAGGTAAGGTGAAATGTTTTGGATTACAGTCAACTTTAAGAAAACAAGTTTCTTTCACATATGAATTTCTAGATGATTTCAAGTTTTTTAGATACAGTGACTTTGTCTTGAATACTATTTGAGTTGTCGATACTCTCTTCAACAGGCTTGTGGACGGCTTGTACTGGTGTATTTGGGTTTTCTGTTGTCTTCATCAGTATCAGCTTTCCATGTCAAGTGAGCACAAAATTGATAAGAACTTGTGTAGCTGTGATTAATAAGAGCTTGTGCGGGCAGCGCTGGCCCTGCCAGCAAAGGCGGAGTCTAGTGTGGGCAGCAGTGACTGATGAGATAGAAGAGTGCTCTGGAGCCAGGTAAGGATATGGGATGCAGCATCTTTTACACCTCTCGTAGTTACCATGGGTAGACAGATGCGCGTCCCATTTACGAAAGAGAAACCTTGGGGTAGAGGGTAAGTGTTGAGAGCCGTAGAGGTGGTGAGGGACGGTCCAGATTTGAGTATTTCACTGAGAGACCACCACCCACCGTTGGGGGTTGCTTTTGTTTGTTTGTTTTCTTAACACTGTGGCAATCTGGAGTTGCAGAAACATTTCTTTGAAATCTTTTGTTTGAAGTTTCAGTGAAACTGTTCTAGAAGAACTGCCTTAGGGGCCCCAGCTGCTTTTGGTGGAGAAAGTTGGATTTAATATAGTTTGTTATGGGGGCTCATTTTAGCTTGGAATTATATAATGTGTTTTAAATACCTCAGTTCCTCCTGTTACAGATATAAATTAATTGCAAATTATCTTCTCTTCACCCCCTCCTCCCAAACAGTTTGAGCTTGGTATAGAAGTCGTTCAGGATTCGGGGAGGGTGGATGGGAGATCTTTTCCTTGATATCTTGAATAGGCTCTTGAAAGTAGGAGTCTAACCCATGTTGGTCTATACCTTTTCCCTTTTTTCTCAGTTCTTTTCAAAAAGAAAATGGTCCCATTCAGTCTTTGGAGTCCTCTTGTCCTCATCCATAGTACTACTTTGTTCACAGAGCTGTTTTGAGATTCATGTGGAAGTAGATGAAGTATGTGGAAATGCTCTGCACATGGTAGGTAGGCATTTAGTAAAACCTGATTTCCTTCTTTTTCGTTCACTGAGAATTAGCCATGTCTAGTCCCCTCTTCCTCTCCGTTTGTCTCTCCAAGATTTTGTGGATATTTACTTCTGAAAGTTGCAAAACAAAAGCCATAGGGCCTTCCCATGCCCACCCAATAAAAGTTTGTGATATTGAACGTGACGTTTCAAAGCACAGCTGCTGGAGCGTTTTACTCTTCTCTTTTGAGAATCACTGATCTAGTGAAGAGTTGACATGTGCAGAGTTACTACAACACATGGCAAATTCTGTCGAATCCTCTTCGACCAGAGCAGCGCACAAACGCATGAATGAACAATAGGGTTAGCTCTACCAGGAGATGTTTGAAAGAGCAGCTTGTTGTCAAAGCGAATGTCTGACTGGTGTAATGTCGGGGCTGGGGGGGCATTTTTGAGTATGCTCTTCTGGTGTTCCTTTACTCTGTCAGGCCATGCTTCCCCCGGATATTTGGACAGAGAAAAATGAGAGTCAGAAAACTTACATTTGTATATAGATTTGAATTTTGTTTTCCTGTATTTATTTAATTCTCACAATAGCCTTGTGCGATAAGTAGAGGTACATGAAGTTGAGGTTAATGACCTGCCCCAGGTTTCATGGCGAGCACGAGTGAAACGCAAGTCTGTGGCCCTGAAGTCTAGGCTGCCGTTCACTGTACAGTAGGTTTACAGAAGCAAAACCTCCATCATCTCAAGACCAAACTTTGGATGGCTTTGAGCAGTGAGAGGGGCCAACACACAGAACTCAAATTTAACAAGTATTTATTTAGTCCCTTTTGTTATTTGTAGGTAGCTCTGTTTTGAAATTGAAATGTTTTTTTCCATCTTCACTTGAGGAGTATTGTGATGGGATGTTGGTAGATAACGAAGACACAGTGCTGAAGAAATGATAGAAGTTGCCAGGAGATGTTAGTGTCCTGTAAATGGTGAATGGTGGACACTGCAGGACGTGCTGATGGGGAGAGAGAATCGAGGTGGGGAGACTGAGAAAACCCCAGAGCTCTGCAGAGGGAGGGGGAAGAGCGGCCCAGCTGCAGCCCTGTCTCTGTGTGTTCCGAGAGCCCCTCGGGTTCAGACGCTTGGGGCTAGCTCTGAGGAGATAGATCTGCAGAGTGCCGCCTCTGAATTTCCTAAAGACGTAAAAAATGAGAAAACTTTCAAGTTTAAGATTGCCGCTGGGGCTGACTTGCACGGATCACATCTGTATGTGAAGCAGAGTCGAGTAGATGTTCATGTCGCTCCCCAGCAGATTTGCTCTAACTATATACTAAGACTGTGATTAATCGGACTGTAATAGATCATGCTAAACTAGAAAAGTGTTAGTTTCTTTTGGATTTCTCCAGCATCTTTAGCTAGATAAACTGTTACTTGCCTAAAGTAACTGCGTGAGTGATACCTCACTTACTGAGATGTGCTGGATAACTTGTCATCATATTTCCCAGGGAAATACGGGAAATTGCTGAAGCTGAATGGCTGGCTGGTTTCCTATTGCTACT